GGAGGGATTAGCACAGAGGGAGGGGAGGATCAGGAGGGATGGGCTTCTCAGGACTGACCTCCCTTTCAGGGGCTGGACCTTCAAATCTTTAGGGATGAAGAGACCCTAGTCCAAGGTCACCTCCAGAAAGGGGGGAAGGAAAGGACCATGCATCTGCTGCTCAGTTGGACAGCTCTCCTCAACAATCTCTTGGGGGTGGAGGGGGCTGGGCCCCACTGTTTAGCTGCCCTCCTGGCACCAGAAGCCTGGTTTTGTCTCCCTCCACTGAGGCACACAGGGAAGGAGTGGTGAGGACAGACAGGGAGGAACGGAGACATACAGGGGTGAAGTTCGATTATCCGGACTCAGGCTGACATGAGGGAAAAGGGCATTCTAGGTTTCCTTTCCCCTCCCTTCTTCAGAAGAGGCAGGAGACAAGCTTCAGCTGAAGTGAGGATGCAGGGCGCTGACCAAAGAAGGCTTAGAGGTCCCTTTGGGGACCCTACCCCTCCAGCCAGGGCTTTCGGTCGCCCCCGCAGGATCCTTGCCTCCTCTCCTTTCCCTCCCTCGGGTAGAAGCTGCAGCAGCAGCAACAGAAGCAGCAGCGGCAGAATTAACCCCTTGCGCTCCCTCTCCTCGCTCTCCCTGCCCCGCTACCAGCCCGTGGATGCCGGCAGGGTCTAGAGAAGCAAGAAGGGGTCCCGGGTAGCTCCCAGGACAACGCAGAATCCAAAAGCCGGATAATCGAAGCGGGGCTGCTGAGATGGGGAGATGAGACGGGGAGGAGGGTTCCTGGCGGCCACCACCTGTCCCGCCGCAGCCAGGTCACAACACGACATTGATGAAGTCACGACAGGGCAGCGATGAGATCACACTTCACGATGGCGCGGTGATGTCACGGAGAGATCACGGCAAAATCACGACATGGGACAGCTCCCAAAGATGACAGGGCAAATTAAAAAAAAAAAAGCTATATATTGTAAAGGGCTGTAACAAAATGGAGTCTCGACAGGGCACGATGATGTCGCGATATGGCACCATGAAGTCACGATAGGGTTCCCGGGGTGTGTCGGCGTCGATCAGGGCCGGCTCGGAGAGGCCCCGGCAGGGACGTAGGGGAGGGCTTGAAGGGGGCTGAGCTCACCAGGCTGCGGCCTGGAGCGGCGAAGTCTTCTTCCAGCGCGATGCTCCGGGATCTTAGGGCCGCTGCTCACGCCGCGTTGCCCACTCCGGGCTCCAGGCTGCTGCAGCTCCACCCCCACCCCCGCAGCGCTCTCGGCCAATCCGCGGAGGCTTCACTCCAGGCTCTGGCCAATGGCACAGCGGGGCGCTAAGCTGTAGGGGGTGCTGCCGTTGTCGCCATCTTGCTTGTGGGAATTGCCCGAGTCTGGGACCCAGGGACCGCGCAGGGCGGGCGAAGTTGCACACTGCCTCTGGAGAGCGCGAGGCAGCAGCCTGGAAGCTCAGGTTCCTTTGCTCGTGCGTAGTTCTGCCCTCCAGCACGGTCTCTCCTACCCCTTGGGCTCGAGACTGAAATTGAGCTTCCGGAGGGGCGGACAGGAGGGCTTGCTTAGCATGAAGAGTGTATTTCCGGGTTGAGCCCAGGAGGTGCGAGGAGGCGGCGTTTCCGGCCGCCGTCGCTGTCCGGGGAAGCTGAGGCGAGAGGGAGCTGTCCGGGTGGGAAGTCCGCACTACTTTCTTCCTCTTCCTCCTCCTCCGGGTGAGGGGAGCGAAGATTGGGGCTCCGACCCCATGGACCGGGAGGAGGCGGAGGCTCCCGAGAGCCTGGGCCCCTCTGTGTGGCCCTGAGCCCGGGTAGGTGGCCGGAGACGGCTGGTTTCCAGGCCGAGGACCACGAGTTCAGGGGAGGGGCAAGGGGGACGGGCTATTTCTGGGGGTGCGCTAGCCAGGTGTTGAGACCCGGAGGTGGCGCTCCTGGCTTGGCTAGGGCAGCCAGCTGCTTCTGGCTTTGCAGGTGCGGAGCTCGAGTCTCAGGCAGAACTCCGCTTCTTTCGGGCTCGGGCCTGGTCCTGCAGCTTCCTCCATCCCCTGACAGTCAGACAGACAGACAGACAGACAGACAGACCAGGCTCGAGGCTCTGCTGTCCTACCTCCTTCGACTTCTGCAGCCTCTCCCTTTGCTGCTGTCTCTGGTGTTCGGTGTTCTCACCAAGATAGAAAGTTGGTGCTGGAAAAGGGGGGCGGGGCTGAGCACGACGTGTAAATTACTGTGCGAAATCTGCCTCATTCAGGACTTGTAAAAGTATGCCCCACAAAGGGGTCCTGTGGTGGCTGCAGGGAGCACAAAAGTGAAGTCAAAAAAAACCTCAGGCGTGATTCAAGGAAAGCGTTGCCTTCTCTCATTTCTTGGTGGTTGTACTCAACCTACAATGGATACAATAGGTGAAGAGCATTAGCTGACTCTCACTGTGCTTTCTTATGTGATAAACAGACTAGAAACTAAGAGCAAATTGGAAAGACGACCTCCCAGAACAATCTGTTCATTTTTCCAGCTATTTGGAAAACAGTGTCTGCAAATATAAGCAAAGCTATTCATGGCAGTCTGTTCTGTAACTTTCCCAAATATCTGAGACTTTTTTTTTTTAAGAGCTTTATTCTTGATTACTCACACCAGCTGAATAGGCTCTTTTAGACGTGCTCTGTCGTTCAAACATATCTTATCGCTGTGTACATAAATGGAGTTCCACGTATGTAGCTGACAGACTGAACTATGATACATTCCCCATCAACCTGAAGTATTAAGTAAACATTACCCCCTGCTCTGTCTGAACAGCTGCTGCAACAGAGAGTGCTTTTATTTCGGGTGTACTTGTAACGCCCTAAATGCCAGAACTATTGCAAGCTTTTCTAGATTTTCATTTGTCAGGTATTGTGGGGGTGTATGTTTTCTCCCTGGGCTGTTACCCTTTGATTCTATAACAAGCCATTTGGATCTTGGTGATTGTTGCTCCCGCCTTTGGTCAGCAAGCCTTTGACTGCACCCTCGCAGTGATTTGTGCCCTTGGGCAATTGTAGGTTTCAGAGGAATGACTAGTTGGAAGTTCACAGGAAAATAGCTCTGCCTCCCTCTTATGCATGGTTTGTAAGACATTGTACTTCTAATCAGCTTGCTAATCCAATGGTGTTTATTACTCCCATTTTCAAAACCTATTCATTTCTTTAATGCTTCTATCGCCCACCTGTCACACTATTGATGACAGGTATTGAGTCACCTTGAATTTAAAAAACCCTTTTGTGGTAGACAGAAATGTGTTGGATAAGATCCATACACACATGCACACTCACTCATTCCATCTTGAGAGGCTATAGAAGTTTCTGGATGTACTTACTTAGACTCCATTCCATAATCTCTTGAGCATGTCTGTGGCCCACACACGACATCCTTTCTGTCCCCTGCTCCCTAACAGGCAACTACAAAATAACTAGAAACAGGAGTGGATGGAAGTGAATGAGAAAGATGAAGTCCTTCAAATGCTTAAAGCTCAGTAAAAGCCTTTTGTTGGGTGGGCTGTACTTCAGTTTTGCAGCTCTGTGTGTGTGTGTGTGTGTGTGTGTGTGTGTGTGTGTGTGTGTGTGTCTATTTCATAATATTAGTTTGGATATCCAACCCATGCAATGCCAATCTTTCTGTATGTTGGCTGGTTTGGGGGTTGTCAGTTTGTACCACTTGCCAGATTTGGATGACAGGTGCACATTTAGGACAAAAGATTTTTTCAATTGCTTCTTCAGAACTTGATCAAGCCTCATAATGTTGCCAAGATTTATGTAATAGTTTATACAGTATAGGAAAGTTGTGTAAGAAAGAAGAAACTGATGGAAAATAATTTTATTTTTCTTCTGGAAGGGACATAAACAGCCTCTAGATTCTAGAGTAGCCAGCACAATGTCTGGTATATAATAGGGCTGGATAAATATTTATTGAAAAAATATGTATATGAATTCAAGTCAGAAATTGCAAATGATTCTAGGGATCAAGGAGGTGACGCCGAAGTATAAATCACATAGATTTTTAAAGATAATAGTGGCAAGGACAGTAGCAAACTGGAGAGTGCATGCCCTCTCTAAAGACAAACAGATTAAATTTTAAAACCTTTAGGTCCAGTCTTTTCATATATAAAGAAGTGTGTTTGGTTAGTCACAAAGCTGTTAGTAGCAGAACTGGAAGTGAAACTCAGATCTTTTTGCAGGTTGATACCTTTCCATTTTTCCACATAGATGATTTACTGTTAGACTGTAAAATGATGGAATATAAAGTGTTTCAGTTTTACAATGGATTCGTTTCACATCCCTTGCTATGTTTTTATCCTGATAATTATAGGCTATGTCAAAAGCTCAGGTTTAAAATTTATGGGCAGAGATGAGCAGTGAAAGACAAACTTGAAATTTCCCCCTAATCTATCTAGCATTCTGCATTTCCAGGAATCACTTATTAATTACTTGGCATATAATTTCTTCTCTTTGTCTCTTTCTAGTGGACTGATTCTGCCTGTCTGGAAGGCCATGGAGAAGAGACTGGGAATCAAGCCAAGCCCTGCTTCCTGGATTTTATCAGGATTTTGCTGGCTGACATCTGTGAAGTGGTTGAGAAGCCTGTACCCGTTTTATACCTACTTCTGCTTCAGTGCTCTGTGGTTGTCAACAGGTACTACTTTCTTTTTAGATTTAAGGCTTAAAAAGAATTTTGTGTGCATCCTTCATTTCATTTTAAAGACTAGTAGGAAGCAGAAAAGCAGTTTGCTAATTGACAGAAATGTCTTGTTGGTGGACACTTAGTTGGATTTGTTTGTTTCGTTTTGGAACTAAAATTTAAATTGGGTTCTTTATCATAAGGGAGAGTTGGCACAACTATTTTGAGATTTGATGAAGATGGAATGAAAAGAAAAAAGGTTTTGTTTATGACCATGCCACCATGAACAAGTCTGGTCCTGTCTGATCTCAGAAGCTAAGCAGGGTCGGGCATGGTTAGTACTTGGATGAGAGACCTAGCAAGACCAGGTGCAGTAGTTGTAAAAAATAAAAAAGTAAGGGATTGTAAGCTGACAAAAGAAAGAAAAAAGAAAAGAGAAAGGTTTCAAAGTTGAACAAACCTGGCACCTGGAGCTGGATGTTTTCACTTAATAACAATAAAACCTTGAGCAGGTTACTTATTGTCTATAAGAAACATAAGACCTACCTCAGAACTTGATTTGGGAGATAATATAATTAAAGCATGTAGTACAGCGCTCTGAACTTAGATACTTAGTAAATGATACTTTGCTTCCTTTCCTTTCCTAAAGGAATCAACACTTAGAGGCAGAACCAGTCCACTAGAGAGAAAGGAATCAATACTTAAAGAAACGTGTTCCTTGCTTTTTCCATAGAAAGGGGTTATGCTGATAGATTTCATAAAGTATGCTTTCCTCCTAGAGATTATTTTACCCAGCCTAGAACCTCTTGCCAGAAAAGAGTGTCAAGAATGCTAAATTTTAAAGACTATCCTTTCTTTCTGTATTCTTTTTTCTTTCATTTCTTTTGTTGACATTGTTTCTTGCAGAGTATTATATGTCAGAAAATAGCAATTTCAGAAAGACTTCTGAGTATGCTGCCATTCTGGGCAATGACCAAAAGCCTTCTGTTGCAGAGACCACTGTCTAGGATAACTAATCAGCCTTTTGCTCCTGTAATTACAAAGATTTCTGTTGCTTTCCTAAAGGAATTGGTGGTCATGATCTTGAGAGTCAAGTAATTACCGTATTTAGCAATTTCAGTAACATCAGCTTTCAGTTTTTGTTGTCTTGCAGTGGTGGTTGATGATTGCATAATTATAGCAGTGGATATTGCAGTTGACAGAAAGCTGACCTAAATGTTTTTTGCCCAGATGATGCTTTGCTGGGACAGCTATTTCAGGCCAACATTTTATGTAAGATCATTTGAATTAAATAAGTAACTGATTTAGCACCGTGAGAGTAGGAAAACCACAATTTTTTGTAGTGCACCTACCGTACACCAGACCCCTGGTTATAAACATTACTTATCTCATTTAATCCTCATGCCATCCCTAAAACAGATAGTTGTATTCTCATTTTATAGATAAGGAAATTGAAGCCCACCTAGGGCAAAATGACTTGACTAAGTTCACAAAGCAAGAACATGACAGAGCTAGGATTCTAAACCCAGGCCTGTCCACTCTACAACTCATGCTCTTTTTCATCTGATGATCTTTTGGAGGACCAAAGACAGTATTTTACACTGAATCGTGATAAGCAGCTTGTTATTTGGGATTCCAATTACAGGGGAGGGTGATGCATTTCCAAAAGTTACTATATATTTCATCTAGCACTTGGTTAGACATAGTACTGTGGGCTCATTGGGCTAGTCTTAGTATTCCTTGAGCTTGGTGCTTAAAAACAGCACTCTAGTGACCAGATTGAGTGTAAAGGTACAAAGGCGGTATTGTTAGGAATGTTTTGGTAGAGATTAGATTGTACCACTTCTAAATGTACCATTTTAGAAAAGCTTGGAGCTTTTACCATGGAAGAACCAAGAACCATGTGTATTCAAACTGAGGGAACATGCAAACAACACATGACAGATTTGTTATATATTTTAATTTATCAGAGCCCTTTCTCATTAGTTTTTAAAAAATCACAGTATTCTAACAAAAAAATGAATAAAAGACACAGAGTACCATAAATAAGAAATTAAAATGATTTATAAACATTTTAAAATGTTCGTTTTCATTACTAATCAAAGAACTGCAGATTAAAATGAGAAATCCTTTTTAATCTATCATACTGATGATAGAGAATATAAAAATATCTACTTCTGCCAAGAAGTGATGTGGTTGCCCTTATATTGTGCTGGGGAGTTTGAACACAGCTTTATGGCATAAATATCAAGATCTTTAAAAAGTTCATGTCCTTTGATTTAGTAATTCCTTTTAGGAATATATCTCAGGGATACATTTATATATTTATTTATCTATCAATCATATAAAACTGTAATTTACCATTTGTTTTTTCCATTTCCTCCATCAAATCAGTTTTCCTTCCTTCCTTCCTTCCTTCCTTCCTTCCTTCCTTCCTTCCTTCCTTCCTTCCTTCCTTCCTTTCTTCCTTTCTTTCTCTTTTATTATGGTGACATTGGTTAATGAAATCCAGTAAGTTTCATGTATACAATTAAACAATAAGGCGTGTATATATTGCATCGTGTGTTCACCGCACATAGTTAAATTTTTTTCATCTCATATTTGGCCCTTTTTACCCCATCCACCTTCCCACTCCCTCAAGGACACATTTAGATAGTTGTGAATGAGAGCATTCATCAATATTCTTTTATTCTCTGTTGCAAAACATAGCAACAACTGCCCAACAATAAAGGAGGAAGAAATTATGGTATGTCCACATACCATAATTTACATGGTAGAACGTCATCCATCTTTAAAATTCATAATTTAGAAGAATAAATACATGGGAAAGTGCTCCTATGTTAACTGATAAAAGCAGAATATACAATTGCATATTCACTATGCTGCATATTTTGTGAAAAGAAAAACGTTTTTATGTACTAGAAAACAATCTAAAACAAGATATGTAACTAAATGTTTATATATTTTTTGAATAGTGGAATTATTATCCTTTTATACTTTCCTGTGTTTTCCAGATCTTTTTTCAGTGTACATGTATAACTTTTATTTTATAAGGGAGGAAAAAGACCTACCTGAGAAAGCAACAACAAAACAATAGCAGCAAAAATCGATAGCTCGAGTCAGTATTTATCTACTCATGAGTTTGTTCAGTTTTTACATGCATTCTTAAGTTTTCTCTGATAAAATATATTCTTGAATGTTTGCTCTTGTCATTTAGCTCATGGATTGTATGGATAATTCCTGAAAAACTAATCAAAATAAGGCAGCTTTCCAGTTATCCCTATTCCTGTTTACCACTTGGCAGTTTACTCCATCTCTGGTAGAGCCCAGGCACCCATTGACTTACATGTAATGGGCTTCTTTTTTATTATTGCTTTTGGGTTCAGTGCTGAAGCCCACTGCTTGAAAGCAGTGATTACAATTTGTCTGTGTTTTCCTTGTGGGCCATTGAATCACTATTTTTCTGTTTAATGTTATTGTTAAATGGCTTGAAAAATAGCATTTTGGACCTGGGGATTATTAGTATCTGGAGACAAATGAGGTGACCCCAAGAGTTTGAAAATTACTGTGATAGATTGTCAGCTTCTTGAGAGCAGGAATTTTGCCTCTTTTACTTATGCTAGGTATTCCTAGCAAGTACTGATGGCTGGGCACATAGTAGATGCACCATAAAAATATATGTTGACTGAATAAATTAATAAATTAGCAATAAGGGAACTGTCCTTTGAGAATTAAACTTTAAAATCAACACAATCTATCATTTGAGATTTAAAGCTTAGAATCAACATAATCAGAGCAGAAGTATGTGAAGGCACCTTAGGGAGACACAGTGCCTTTGAGACCAGCAAGTTCTGGTTAAAATAATAACAAATATATTAACATATCTAAAGAATGTGCATATCTGAAGAGTTACATGTGCATGTGTGTAAGGGACGAGAGGGCCTGAACTAGCCCTGGAAACCTAAAACAAGGAGAGTCATCGAGGCTAATGTAGTCCTAAAGCTAACAACTGGCTATGAAAACTTTTACTGATGCTCCCCTGCTTCTGGGAAGTAGATTACACAGTTAGTTAATAATAAGTGTTTTGAGTGAAGAGAAAAAGTATTCAATTCAGAACCAGTTTTTGAGAATTCATTAGGAGTGTGGTTTTAGGCCAGGCACAAGGGTAATAAGGATGAATGTAACACAGTTCCCTGGAAGAACTCCCAGTTTAATGAGAGACAGAGAGAGAGAGATCAAGCGAGAGAGAGCAAGCGAGCGCGTGCATGCATGTGTGTAAATACTATGATGCAGTAAGTGAAAAGATAGAAGAATGCAGTGGCCAGAATGCTGCTGAAACCAGGGAGGAAATACTCAGCTTAGAGGTGAAGGGAGAGAATTGAGGAATTATCCCCAGACAAGCTGATGCCTGAACAGATTTTTGAAGGTTGAATTTGAAGGATTTAAGGAGTATTCCCTAAGCAATGGGAATGCAAGAACAAAAAGGTGAAACAGCCCAGTATATAGCAAAAACTCTATATGCAGTTTAGTGCTGCTGGAGTATAAAGAGCAGAGCTGGAATGGCAGCTCCGGAAGAGGTAGATCGTGGCCAGATCATGAAGGATCTTGTATATGTGCGAAGAAGCTTTGGTTTTAATCTTTTTAGGTAGGTAGTCTACAAATTTTTTTTTGATTACACACTCTAATTCACAAAAAAAAGTTGAGGATTTACCCCAATATATGTTCATTTATACATAATAACAAGTACCATTGAATTAATGTCTAACGTATATAAGAGATGCCAAAAATAAAAATTTAAAGGGATCAACTAAAAAACAAATACAAATAGTTTTAATATCTTCTTTTCATACCCCAGTGATTTGTCTTGTGCACCTCTTGTACGAAAACACTACTTCGGAGATCATTGCCTTAGGGAGTTGGGAGCTATTGAAAATTTTAAGCAGAAGGATAATACTGGTTAATTTCTAGATCATTTTTTGCTGGAATATGGAAGAATGATAATGGTGGAGATGGGA